AGGGGTGTGCTAAAGATCCTGTGCGACCGAAATCAAACAAAATGGAACGTCTTTGAACAGAATCTTTTAAAAATTAGTTGCAGGTCCATGTTAACTTTCTTCAAAATCAAACAAAATTTCTTAACCTCAAAGACTTTAACGTGCCGTTGGTTTGAGTGATTGACTGAATGCGCTCTTAGTGTGTTAGGAGTGGTTGGTACCATTGGTATTGAGAAAAATATCACTTTTGCTTTTGTCGTTGAAATGCCAAGTTCTCACTTTTACGAACGAGATTGATATATTGAGAAATTCCAGAGTCTTCACGCTAAAATTGTTTAAATTAACTATCTTATATATCTACGCGAACGGGACGTGGCCAATTCCCTTTTCCTTCTCGAGATTTGCTTCATAAATTTGACTGTATAAACGTGAGGTCTCGAATTTCCTTGTCTTGGCATTGAAGAGATAATGGACCCAAATCATTTAAAAGGTTTTGAGTTAGATTATGAAATTGGAATCGGAGGTCTTACTCCTGAAGGTGATGTTAATCAAAAACGTAAAATTGTCACAGCACTTCTGAATCAAGAATCACATAATCGTAGATGCCTTATTACTAGAGGTTGACTTTATTGAACGCATTCATAAAGAAGGTGGTACTTCTATGTATACATCGTCCCCCCGTTGTCTCTAGAGATGGCACCTTCCTTACCTTCTACTTCGCGTTGTATTCCTGTGTACAAGTGGAAAGTTTCAAATAAAAGTTGCAAGATTCGATGGGATAAATTCAATGGATGCAGAAAGAACATTTTCAAAATGGCGGTGTTCGAGATATTGACATCACCTTCCTTATTTTAAATAGACGCGCCATATTGGATTTTTACTCAGTTTGATGTACATGTATTCATTCAAATAATAAACATGGGTAAAATGACAATTTTCATTATTTCTTCATAGTTGGCCATGGAAACAGCAAACAATTGACATTTTGCAATGTTACAATTATCTGGCCGGAATAAAGGAATTTTGAAGTTATAGCAAATGTTCAAAACGCATTCCACTAAGCACATTAGCCACCAGTTTAGCTACTACAGCAGTTTTACCTTTCCCAATGCATTCCTATGAAACAAATGTAACATTGTAAAATGATAATTAGGCCTCTATGCTGGTTTTGTTTCCATGACCAACTATGACGAAAAAATGAAAATTGTAATTTAACCCATGTTTATTAATTGAATGATAATTTGATGTACATGATTGGAAAGAGAAAAAAAACTGTATCAAACTGAGTAAAAATCCAAGATGGCGTTCAATTAAAATTAGGGAAATTGATGTCAACAGTTACTTCGAAAACCACCATTTTGAAAAATGTTTTTCTACACCCATTGAATTTATCCCATCGAATCTTGCAACCGTTTTCGGTAGCTCTCTTTGTTACTAAAATGTTTAAACTCTATAAAAATGGCGATTTTCCTTTTTTCCAATTTTCTACGAAACGATTTCTTTTTTCAAAATATCGCACGGAATATCCATCACCATCACAAACTACACAACTTCGGCAATTTAACCGAATCTGTAAGTATAATAAATTAAACAAATATTGCAAACGAGCTCCTGGGTATGGCTATAGCATGTGCAAAACCAAATTTTAAACCGGATGTTAGTTTTGCTTTTATTTAAAGTGTATATGTATGAAATTTCATTTAATTGCTTCCATAAATAAGAAAGTTGGCACTGCACATCCCACACAAAACCAAATTCGAAATTCGTTTATGATTTATCGTGCTAACGGACGGACGGGCGGACAGACACCGCAAAATTATATCGCTAGGAGCTCGTTAATAATAACAAAGAGAGCCATGTTATCCTACTCAATTTAAAATACCCTGTATAGCAGGTATGCAGATATTTGGGAGACTTCATTTATCCTGATGAAAACACTCGTCTCGAGAATGTGCTTTTTGACTTGCAACCTTATTTTATCAAAGCTATGCATCTTCTATCGAACAGTTGAGTAGCTTGTGTAAAGGAATTAAAGAATTCACATCGCGCATCGAACAAACTATCTCTAGTGTCTTTAAAAAAATGCCGTCTCTAAACCTAGTCCAACTCCTGTCGTTTCTAAAGCTGTCGTGTCTCGAAGAGCTTATTTAATTTAGCTCCAAAATACATTCCCTGTATCGTTACTAAGATCATTTCTAATTTAGTTTATGAGTTGCGAGATAATAACAATGGTGCTTGGCACGTCAAAGATCTTTAACCTCTGACAACCAGGATCAGGAGGGAGTAGATCAGTAATTTAAAAAAATTGGAGTATTTGGGACCATTGGTATTGAGAAAAATATCACTTTTGCTTTTGTCGTTGAAATGACAAGTTCTAATTTTTGGGAAATATTTTGATATATTGGAAATTCCAGAGTCATCACGCTAAACTTGTTTAAATTAATTATCTAAGCATCTTCACGCGAATGGCGCAATTCCCTTTTCCTTCTCGGGGTTCGCTGCAAGACCTGCCAGTTTTCTTCGTGCTTCTTATGGTTTTAGAGGAAAAATTAAAAAGAAAGCAAGAATCATTTTTTGCCCTCTATCAACCGATACTTTTGGCACAACACATATGTAACACCCCGTATAAGCTTACAATTCCCTATGAAATTAACCATCGTCAATCCACCATATAAATGTTGAAAATTAACTTATTATGATAACATTTAACGATGGACAATCTTCATCGACTGTAATCCATCCATTAATTTTACTTGTCTACTTATTTGGCCTCGAATGGAATTTATCACAGATAAAGGGTTTAACAAACTAATGCGATTTTTGTTGTTATGAATAGATCCATATCTTCATGCAATGTTTGTAATTTATAGTTGTGATACCTGGGAAAATTGTGATTCCGGTTACACACCGTTATTTTAAATCCGATGCCATATTTCTATTCATTCTTCAAATCTACAGACAATTTGGAGTCAAAACCAAAATCGACAGGTTTTTGAATGAAATTACATATTCGAAATTTTGGGAAGAACCCTTAGAATTGGCCTGTGGCAGTTCTCCATCCTTCCCGATCTGCAGTCAACCTTTTCAGTGCCAAGTAGGACGGACAGCTTATGCCAACCATTATATTTTGGTCAATGTATTCTAACCTGTGAGAGTACCTTCATAATATGAAAAAATATTTTATCGGTCAAAATGGCACAGAAAATGGCACTAAATTTTCTTAAAATCTTGCATTAAACGTTCCATTATTTGAAAAATTTGATTCATCTGTCCATATAATAAATTAAAGTCCATCGTTTAACAACAAATAACAAAACTCTAAGCTGAAAGTTTTGGATTTTTTTTAGTTTAAACGCTCTGTATTTATTCCTTTTGAAAACTGTACTCTTCCTACACTATTTGCTTCAAAATATGCCAAAATATCTATTTCAATATCATTATCGGACTCGACTTCCTAAAAATCGGGGACCAATCTTGAATATCATGTTAATTAAGCCCGCTTCATTTGACCCTAGACACAATCTAATCAGACGAGGTTTGGTGCAAATTCCAAAATTCGATAGTCCCCAGTAAAGCGCATGGAATTTCGGGTCAATCATAAAAGTCCCGCGATAATAAAATAAACTGCACAACCTTGCACTTTTAATGCTCGTTTTCGCTTAACATTGAGAAACTAAAATCTGTTATTAATAAATGAAGGGAAATATATCTACGGGAACAGCTCCAAGTTAGTTACAGTATCTGTATTTCCTTATCGGCGTCTAAAACGGCGCTACAAATTAAAGTCATTACATTTGCCAACTCCTATAAAAAATCGTAGGTCCGGAACTACAATATCTCGTAACGAAGTAGCCCAAATGTATATCACATTTTGACACCGTGCGTTCATGTACCGGGTGGTCATCAAAGCCGATAGATCTCACAATGGATGCTTCGTTACAAGTAAGACAAATAATAAACAAAACCACTAAAACTCTTCCACAACTTTAGAGCTAATAGAACTAGACACTTTCGATTCATGTGAGGGTTTAGTTAGTGAAAACATACAATTTATCAAAAAAGGGTAGGTAGTTCCGCTTGACATAGACGAATATAGGCAATAAAATAAATAAAATAAATAAAAAATATAAGCACATTTACTGAATTTTTCATAATTTTTCAATTTCAAAACCTCATTTTTAACTACTTATAGCTAAGGTAAAAAAGGGGCTCGTTACGTACGTTGCCTGTACTCCAAATAAAAATCGAAAAGTTGCCGAAATCGATAGCAAAAACAGACAATAAAATAAAAAGACAATTGGTGAAACATTGTTGTTGTTTTTTCTTATCCAATAACAAGGTGATATTTGACCAATGGTTCACCTGATTGGGTAATAAAACTGTCAAACTAAAAAATAATATAAAAAAATCCCTTATTGATTGATTACCCCTTACCATTGACTCTAAATCCATAAAATATGGCATACGTTAAAATTGTGACGATCCATAGCTCCAAATGGGGTGCTTAACGAAACTTCGGACAAATAACACCAAACTCCCCACAAAAGTTGTAATAAATAAACGGTATATGAAGATGAACCCCTTTATTGTTATTCTTTATACCCTAATATAGCAATTCTAACTATTCAAAGAAATTTCTGGCAAATAATAAGTAAAAGGGCGTCTTGGGCTCCAGGGATATGGCCAAACGGAAAATGATACTGTTCTTTTTCCGGATGCCGACACCTTCCGCCATTTACATGCCTACATTTAGGTAATCCGAGACACAAAATACCTCACAAGCGGTGACCTTTTACTCAATTATTTATACGTTTTAAATTACAAATCTCTTAACCTTGCCCAGTTTAGTTCTATTAAATTACCCCGCTTGCCAAATTTGAAACCGGTGTGTATTTTCTGTACGCGTATTTTGTCCAAATTTGACAGTGGAATGAACTCCTCGCTATCCTTGAGTATAAATTGTTTATTTATCTAGGACCTTGATGCGCCGTTTTTAAAAGGAAACTTCTTTCTTGTTGCAGGCCAACTATTTTCGGGCGACGCAGTTTTGCAGATTTCACGGGATGCACTTGGCGAGTATATCGTCGCAGGAAGAAAACGATAAGCTAGAGAAATATATTAAGGACTTTGGTGAGTACCTACACTTCTTTACAACATTTAAACAAAGGCAAGTGTTGGTATTTAAAACGAGATTGTACCATGCGTTCTTGACAAAGAACCGTGTCAGTTCAAGGATGTTGGGGTAGTAGCTATTCAATTTTTTTGTGGCGGAATTTCCCTTTCCCAAAGTGCAGAAGAACGTTTAATTAAAATTTCAATTTCCCCGGAAAATCAGTAGAAACTTTTCCGTTTTCCGTTTACAAATCAAATTGAATATACCAAGTGGAGATTCTCACCCAGTCCCTATTATACAGGGTGGGCCATTAGTGAGTGGGTGGAAGATGGATTAAAAATTCATTGTCGGACCATGTTAAAGAGCTCTTAAGGCTACAAAAAAACTTGTAGTTCCATTCAAAAAAATCAAGTTACCTTTGATTGAAATTCTGAAAATTGGTCGAGTGATTTTTTTTAACACAATAAAAAAAGTTTAACTGTCATTGCTGGGAGTAATTTAGTACATTTCATGATTAGTAAGAGACAGAGTCACGGTTTTTTAAGTTTTTTTGATTTTTCATGGACATCAACTTTCGAAAAAATGACGAATTGGGGATAAACGACTCATTTTAGATAGATAAAGTCTCACTAAAATTTACCAAGGAATCAAAATACGCAATAATATACAGGGGGTTCTGTTTTAACAAAATGCAACTGCAATTTCGTTGAAGATATTTTTGAGGTGTAGCCTTAAGACAATGAAGTTTAAATATGTGCGTTAATAAATCGAAAAAGTGTAAAATTTTGAGAAAAAAAGGTTATGCGAAATCTTAAAAGATAAGGGCGTAACGTGTTACATAAAAAATAAGTACTTTTCAAGTACTTTCCAAATCTGCAATAAAAAATGGGGTGTTCCATTTTAAAAAACTCAAGTTTGATACGCCACTGAAATACAGTACGCCTCTAGTGATCAAAAATGAAACATGACGACGGTAGTTTGGATTTCTTCGGTTATCTTTTATGGTAAACGAATTATGATCCAAGAGGCCTTAGATGCTACACCCTGTATACTTACGTATTCATTTTCTAAATCACCGCATTTTTACTAAATTTCCTTCTTGCGCATTAGTAAAGCATTTATCCAGACAGCTTGGTTGCTCAATCGAAGTAGTAACAAAAAAATATACGAGGGTCATCGGATAAGTGAAATAAATAGCAATGATATCGAGTCAAAATATATCTTATTTTTCGACGTAGTCCCTCCAACCTCAGTGTATTTTCAATCCCGCGATCACAGTGTTTTTTCTAGAACTTCTCAAAATAGGTGTTCAGGCGGTCTTTCACCTCCAGTCAGATAAACTTTTACTTTTGAGGATAAGCGAATAAGGGCAAAGGTAATCGCACGTAATTGTGTTTTCTGGTATATCCTTGTATTTTATAAGTTGCAAGCAAACCACCATTTCAATTACCTAATACAACTCTTTTAGGTGAATTTTTTTGACCAACTATTGGACACACTTTAAATCTTCACTAAGTAATAATTTGCACTTTAGGATTTCTTATTGGTTTGTTCTGATGCGGAAATTCATATGTTTTTACAACGGCGAATTGAATGAGTTCAGGCCTTTCGGAGAGTTCACGCCAATAAACGTTTGCACAGCAGTTTCAACAATGGTTCTTTGTAGTAGCGAAATTATCCATCCACGAGGGATAGTTTTTATATTGGCGGATTAGGCATGAAAACAAAAGAATAGATCAACAACAAACTTTTATTGCCGTGCTTTTGAATAAAAATATCCATTCGGCTTTTCCGCAAAATGGCCCTCAACAGCTGCTATAAGTTCGTCACTCTCCCTAAATTTTCTCTCCCTTGGTGTTTTTTTTAAGATTCCGGATTTAAAAAATGCATGCTAGATCTGGACTATATATAAGGCGGATGTTTAATTTCTTCAAAGCCAACTTTTGAAAATCTGGACTTGTGCCCTGGTGCATTGTCGTGGAGCAAGACACCTCGCATCAGTTTTCCGCGTCTCTTCACTTTAATAGCATCTATAAAGGCGATGCATCAGGTTTGCAGTATACTCTCACGTTACCCTTTTCCACCCATTTCCATAGCGCCCCAAGAGTTGTTTTTACCAAAATATTACTAAGACTAACCCTTACCAACCAATCCCTCCCCAAATGTCAAACATTTCAAGGGGTGGGCCTCCCAGTTTCAAACTGAAGTTTTTACGTTGCTTGTCGTTGTAAGTTAAAATCAGTTTGGATACAGAATTGAAAGACCTGTCAAATAAGATGTCACTCGACTATTATTCCCATTTGAAATTAATGGGAGTTGTTGTCGTTAGGGGGTGGCTGACAAGGGGTTGATTTTTACGTAGTAATGTGTCAAGCAGTGCAGGATATTATGGTAAAAAATGTAATAAATCTCCCAATTTGTTGAGTAGACAGATTAAAAAAATTTAAAATTGAGTGCAATTACTTCAGAATAAAATGAGCCATTTGCCAATGAACCCTGTGATGTATTAGAAACCTCAAACTTAACGTGCAGGTTATCTGCCAAAAAACGATATTTTGCGTATGGGCAAAATAACGTTAACCTACACGTTAAGTTTAACGTTAGTAATACACACAAGGCTGAATCGGTACTGCAGTGAGACAGGGATAATTACACTTGCTTATTATACCACTCACCTTCTCCCAGATCCAGACCTCCTAGATCAGGGGTCGGCAATCTGCGGCTCGCGAGCCGCATGCGGCTCTTTTGATATAAAGTTGCGGCTCTCCGTATTTATCTAAAGAAATTACTTCATTTGTTCGAAATTCGCCTTTTTAATTAATCTTATTTGTTTACCAAATCAAAAGTACACTTGCAGCAAATAATTATCTAATTTGTGACACCTGTTTACCTTTACTTTCTTGTATTCTTTTGTTTTTTTTTATTATAGCAGCCTACTCCGATGTATAAACACGTAATTAATTAATGAGTAGGTACTTTTGTGAAAAATATTGAATAACATAAAAACTGCGGGGTTTAAGCACAGGGCACCCCTTATAAACATTGAAGAGAACGCAAAAGGCAATCGAATAGCGAAATAAAACAGTAGTAGTTCCATTTGAAAAAGAATAGTTATAGCAGTTTGAACAAATGGCATTGAAACAAGTAAAAATATGCAGGATGTTCTATTTAAAAAGATCAGTTATTTATTGACATCGTAAAAATGGGACACCCTGTACATGCAAAAATAATTTATGTAGATCCGCAACCACCAATATTTTTTATTAGGTATCAGCTATGTAGGAAAAACCGACGCATTGTTGCAGGACCCTGTATATAGCCAAATACTATAATATTAAATCAAAATTTTTTTTGTGGCTCTTTCAAAACTGGGAAATTTTATAAGTTGTAATTTTTGGCTCTTCTGTTTCAATAGATTGCCGACCCCTGTCCTAGATGATAGTGTTAGCAGTGTTAGGACCTCGGTTAGGACCCTATATTTTACGTTGTGTGGTATGTTAAGTTACAATTTCAGAGGTGGTCGTCTGCACGTTCTTTTATTTTATGTAGCACAGAGACAAGGTAAATTGAAGACATGATAAGAGATAATTAGGTATATTCCTTAAGTAACATTTTGGAAATAAACTATTTTTCATTTACAATCCACACAAAATCTTCTTAACGAATGCACATTTTTACATCTTTCCCCTATAAACGGGTGCACTAACCCCCGAGCGCTTTCTTTGCAAGTTAAATATCCAGTTCCAGCTAAAGTTAAAGATTCTTACTGCTTAATTATTAATTAACAAGTGGATCACTTCAGTACTTATTAATTTTAATGGTGAAAACTACTCATTATCGCCAAAACTTATAAAAATATAAATTAAAGCTTATCAGGGATGAAAATAAAGTTCGAATAAAGTTTATGATAATTAATGTTAATATTTTAACGTAATTAATACTACTTTCAACCCTTAAACGTTAACATTACGACCCTACGTACGTCCATTATTACAGGATGTCCTATTAATAAAGGTCACAGGCCATATCTATAAAACCGTTAATTGCACAGTTTGGGGAAAAAGGTTTTGTTAACAAAAGAGGTAAGAGATTCGCTGGAAATTATTTTTAAGTTTCTAGGTTTGCTGCTAGAGGGCGTACGATTCACGGTTAAGTAGAAAACAGATTTTTTCATAAAATATACCCAACAAAAGTGCATAAAAAATACATGAATCGCAATCTTGTATGAATGTTGCATCATTTTGATTCAGCGGTGTCTGTCCGTCTGTCCATTAGCACGATATTTCAAAAACGAATAGATCGATTACGATGAAATTTTGCAGGTGGATTCTTTACCAAATTTGTAGATCGGACTTCGCGAAATGGAAATGTAGCCCGGCCTTTTTGATATCTCCGTTAGTTATGAACCGAATTGCAGTAAATTCAAAATTACCATAGCTTTAGCCAAATAATACGCAATGCCAAGCTATAGCCATACCTGTTTTATTATCATTCAGATTAATGGTCGTTCGAACACATTTTTCATTTTGGAATCCATAAGATTAACCCTACAACAAGATTACTCTGAAGAAATGCACTCCAATCACGCCCCATTTAATTGTTTTCTCACCAGCACGCATTTTCGTAAGTAGCTTTTTAATGTGTCAGGTTATAAAGGCTTTAGGGTCTCGGTATATCAATAAACGTTTAAAGGATGACTGACACAAATAAGTTATGCTATATAAAGCAAGAACAAAAAGCTCTTAGAGAAATGTTGCTCCCTTCTTCCGACACTCCATTTTCGAGATATTTAAGTTGTCACATCATCAATGCCCTTTGAGAGTACCCTCCTCGTTGCGCTCTGGATATATTTGCACTTAAAGTTTTTACATCCTTCTCGAGATATTTGTTTTAACCTCACCAATAAATATGTCTCGTCCAGACGATTCATTTAAATATTTAAATAAAGTAAGATGGCAAAGATGTTGTATTGAAAAAAAAGAAAAAAATTTTTAACTAGAATACGGTGGGGAACGCAAAATGTTTCCCAGCTCCTAAGAAAGTGACCCAAATTTTAACCAACATATGAACCAGCAACAATCTGTATGACATGTTTTAAGTAGAAAAGTAATTTTCCAAAAACCACCCCAAAAAAATATTTGCAGCTTTCGTCGTGGTGAAATGTTGTTAGCAAACCTCCTCGAAAACGGGTAGATTCTAAAATATCGGTTCTGCAACAACAAGAGCAGCTTTGAGACGGTAGTGAGGCGCAAAGTATCTAATTCTGGATGTTTTCTTGTAGGTTTGGGAAACGAGCACTTCTGGACATCGGGCACCGACCTGGCCGACGAAGGTAAATTCTTCTGGATGTCGAACGGCAGACCGCTGACGTTTACGAACTGGAACGCCGGCGAGCCTAACAATTTCGTCTACGAAAACGGCGAGGAGGAAAACTGCTTGGAGCTTTGGAACAGAGACGGCAAAGGACTGAAGTGGAACGATTCGCCTTGCTCTTTCGAAACGTTCTTCGTTTGCGAAATACAGCAGTGATGTTTGCCATAGTTTTTGTTCTTATTACCTGCCCAACTCGAAACTTAATAAATGAAATAGTGAGCGGTACAAAGATGTGGAATGAATGTTGTGGAGGTACCGCCCAGTGATACGAAACTGAGAAAAAAATGTGTGAGTGTTATAATGACTTTTTAGTTAGTGTAATTTTGTAGTCATTTTCATACCAAGATTTAGTTTTACCGGCTCTTTCTAGAACGCCACGAAAAAGAGCCAAAAATAAGTATTTTGTTATTCTCCTAGTTTTACTTCAATTTGTAAATTTATTTGTTATAGTTTTATCATTTTTTAATTTATAAAAACGTGTAATTAACATGAATTAATTTTCTATGAGCACACCCCTTTACTTTTTACAGGAAAGACGAGCATTTTCAAATTTGTTGCAAATTTACAGGAATGGCCAGAGCAGTTAAAAATAAATCACATAAGGCTGAATTCTGTGGAACTTTGAAGCGCTTTTTGTCACTCATAACGTAATAAAGGTCCCCAAGTCCCCAATGGGCGGGATATCCGCAAAATCACCCCCTTAATTCGTTTGTATTAACTCAGTGACCTATGGTTTTTTGGGGCACATTGACCCGCATGTTGTATAGCGGGTAATTGGTGGCATTATTTTAAGTCTTACATTGGGAAAAGCCCAATCAAAATAGGATTTTGCTAACCAGCCGGATTAAGGACCCACTGAAGATATTCAGCAAAATTGAGGGAAAGCAGTATAGACATCCCAAGGTAAAAAAACTACTACGTGCAGCCTACCAGAGAGCAGAACGGTGAAAATTCGAATCGAAGCAACAAAAGCTTCATCCGCCTGAGGTCGGCGACTACTGCGATTGCAAAGAGGTAAAAATTTTAAATTAGGTAGGTACTTGCATTTGTATTGAGTGATGCGCAATCTGGTAAAAACAATTATCTAGGCATGTGGACAAGCGGCAGGAATCTATTTCTGTTTATCAACATTGCAGTTCATATACCAGTATATACTACTTTAGAAAAAATTACTACGTTTTCATTGGGGGTTCCTAATTTAAAATGGAGTTAGCCAATATCACTTTGGAACAGAATACACGGGTGGGTTAAGCACACAAGTGGCTTGAATCATTTCTCAAAAATCGTAAACAGAAAGTGGTAATAGATTATTGTAACAACGGAGTTCGTGAATCGTATTCATCACAAGAGGCAGTTGTTGATATAGGTGTACCGCAAGGATCCGTGCTAGGGCCAGTTCTATTCCTTTTCTATATGAACGATATCCACCTTCACCTGGACGAAGAGGCACATTGCATTCTGTACGCAGATGACACATCCTTATTAATTTCTGACGAATGGGATAAATCTTTAGAAAACATATGTAACAAAAATTTATCTCAGCTATATGATTGGTTTTCATCTAATTCGCTCACTCTAAGTGAGAAGAAGAGTAATTTTATCAGGTTCCGTCACCTCCAATCTAATGTACAAAACATAACTTTAACTTTTAATCAATTTAAATTACAGGAAGCGACCAGCACAAAATTTCTAGGTTTACATATAGATGCACATTTGAATTGGCAAGTACATTGTACTAATATAGTCAATAAGTTAAATAGAACTAATTATTTATTTAGAAACTTATGTACTATATTTACACTACCACAATTAATTCCGATCTACCACGCATCAGTAGCTTCTATCATTCGTTACGGAATTTGTTTATGGGGACCATCCCCTTATTCTCGTTGCGTCTTTCTCTCTCAAAAGAGAATTATCCGAACACTTGCAAATATTCGCAAATTTGATTCTTGTCGAGGATTCTTCAAAAAACATAAAATTCTCACTCTAACAGGATTGTATATATTTGAAATCTGTCAATATATTTATGTCAACTCTAACAAGATGGTTAAAAGTAAAGCCGGGCTCAGACGACTCGTGTACTTGGCGAATAATCGTTACTTTCGTATACTTGGCATGTCGTGTGAGTGGGTTACTTGTACAATTAATTGTCACTCGTTAGTTTTCCATTTCTTGTCGGTAAAATTGGTCCGAGTCAAAGGGATCACGATTATTCGCACACTTGCCAAGTACATACTTATCTATACTTGTAGAGGCGCTCAAACGGAATGCACAAATAATTTGCCTTTAGTGCGATTATTAATTTAGTTTTCAGTTAAAGACGGAAGCGTACAGACGTTTTTTTTTTGTTTTTTTTTCTTTTTTTATTGAAATGGAGTGGACAAATGAGATTGTGTTGGAATTTCTTGTTTTTTATGAAAATGAGCCGGTCATTTGGATGGCTAAACACAAAGACCATAAAAATCGAAATGCAGTTAATGATGCCTGGAAAAGGATACAAGTGTTACAAATGTTCGCCCCAAATATTCGCCCTCGCGTACTTGTACAATGTACACGTCGTGTGAGTGTCCTGCTTGCCATCGCAACTCGCCAAGCTCGTATACTTCCCAAGTACGCAAATAATTGTGTATTCGCCAAGTACACGAGTCGTCTGAGCCCGGATATACATCAATACAATATCCGAGGTAATGATAATCTTCGACCACATTTCACTAAGACAAAAATTGGAATCAATTCACCCTCCAATCTGGGAATTAAGATCTATAACCATTTACCTCACATAATACGCAACTGTAGGCAATTATCAATCTTTAAAGAAAAATTATATTTGTTTCTAGTTGACAAATGTCACTATGATATAAGTGAATATTTTACTGTTTAATGTAACTTGTTTGTCGCTATTTAATGTCTAATTTGTTTTTTACCTATATAATACTTAATGTACCTACTCGTAATTTAAATATTTGTTGACAATTTCCACACAAACTAGTTTGTCTATGGAATAAAATACTATTATTATTATTATTATTAAATACTTACACTTTTATTGATTCTAACGCATTTTTTAAAGTAATTCACTTCCATTGCCAATGATTTGTTGGAGAACCCAGACGTATCACTTTCTGGATTTTTCCTAATTTAAAATGGAGATGGACAAACTACTTTAGAAACACCGCTATGCATCGAATAAATTCAGTTCTGGTGGTGAGTACATTTATTCACAAAAATACATCTTTACACGCAATTAATAATGTAGCATATTTTTATTGTTCTAGCGTCCTCCTGTCTTACGAACAGCGAAATTAAACAAAACTGGAAAGTACAAGACCCCGTCTCGCGCTTTGAGTACAGCACACGTACATGTATCTGGGTAGCAAGAAATGTGGTTTGCAAGATGGGTCAACGTAAAACCCATTTTACTTTCACAATTCTCAGTTGTTTTTTTGCTGCAGATCATCTGCAGATACGATGAACTGAGTGCCATCAAAGTGCAGTGTACAATATTATTCCAAAGATGTTTCTTTTTTGTATCTTCTTTGACAGTGGTAAATTGAAAAATAAATAACGTTCGTATATTTTGCTCCCAATTTTGTTTTTTTACACCCGTTTAAATTGGTAGGATTTAAATTACTAGTTAAACGCCTTCAAGCATTTACTTTGGTTGACTAGTAGCTGCCTTAGGGACGGCTGGACCGGAATGATGACGATGACAACGCCGAATTCGAAGTGGTGCTGGTGAATATCTGCAACAATATGATTATCCAGTAAAAGTGCTGACAGGGTTTCATTGTCATACCCAAGAATGTTGCTCTGTGTTGACAATTGCAGAGGATACACGTGGAATAAGGCAACCTCTCTTCAAATACCTGTAATAAACGTTAATCCACATTTTATCTGTATCAGTTGTCATCATCGTTAATAATACAATACCTAGTTCCTCTGTGTGTGGAAGACGTAAGGTATGGATGGGTAAGTATGTATCCCAGAGAAACAGAGATATAAAAGATCATATCAAATCAGTTGATTATTCCATTTATGATGACTGATGAATGAGGACATCATCTCGAAAGATATTTAAAACAAGAAAGCATAAGAGCTTTTGTTACAAGGTAAGTACTGAATGTAGTTAAAAGTCCCGAAAAGAAATTTTGGTGCAGTCGATTCTTGACAAAAAAGGAAGGTTATACACTGCCTGTTTTTGAGACTCGGAAAAAAAATTGTCTCAGATCGACCCGGAAAAAAATATTTCTTATAGAATGGGGCCTGTAGAATCCATAATTTCAAACAGTTCCAAGATTGCGGTACTAGTTCAAAAGTTACAGCCCTTTGAATTTTCTTTCGAAATTGGTTTCTAGTCTATAACTTTTGATTGAGAAGTCTGATCGAAAAAGTACGAATTGTTTTGGATTCTACGCACCAAAATTAATAAGAAAAAGTGTTTTCCCGAGAAATTTTGGTGCAGTCGATTTTTGGTAAAAAAGGAAGGTTATACACTGCCTTTTTTTGAGCCCCGAAAAAAAATTGTCTCAGATCGACCCGGAAAAAAAATTTTCTTATAGAATGTGGCCTGTAGAATCCATAATTTCAAACAGTTCCAAGATTGGGCTACTAGTTCAAAAGTTACAGCCCTTTGAATTTTTTTCGAAATTGGTTTCTAGTCTATAACTTTTGATTGAGAAGTCTGATCGAAAAAGTACGAATTGATTTGGATTCTACGCACCCAAATTAATAAGAAAAAGTGTTTCTCCGAGAAATTTTGGTGTAGTCGATTTTTGGTAAAAAAGGAAGGTTATACACTGCCTTTTTTTGAGCCCCGAAAAAAAAATTGTCTCAGATCGACCCGGAAAAAAATTTTCTTATAGAATGTGGCCTGTAGAATCCATAATTTCAAACAGTTCCAAGATTGGGCTACTAGTTCAAAAGTTACAGCCCTTTGAATTTTCTTTCGAAATTGGTTTCTAGTCTATAACTTTTGATTGAGAAGTCTGATCGAAAAAGTACGAATTGTTTTGGATTCTACGCAGAAAATTAATAAGAAAAAGTGTTTTCCCGAGAAATTTTGGTGCAGTCGATTTTTGGTAAAAAAGGAAGGTTTATACACTGCCTTTTTTTGCGACTCGAAAAAAAAATTGTCTCAGATCGACCTGGAAAAAAAATGTTCTTATACAATGTGGCCTGTAGAATCCATAATTTCAAACAGTTTCAAGATTGGGCTACTAGTTCAAAAGTTACAGCCCTTTGAATTTTCTTTCGAAATTGGTTTCTAGTCCATAACTTTTGATTGAGAAGTCTAATCGAAAAAGTACGAATTGTTTTGTGGTTGTAAAATCTACTGTATTTATTAATCTCCCTAAAATACACTCGATCTTGGTTTTAAATCAGGATGACTTTATTTTTAGTTCACTCAAATTTTGTTGCCTCCTGGAAAAGAACTCTCGATCAAAAGCATAAGATCATTGCATAAAAATTTATTCAATGATAAAA